TAGTACACATAAGTCAACATGTCTGCATTGTGTTCGTTGTTTCAGTAACTGCTTGGGCAATAGAATTAATTTTTTAAACTACGGCGACTGACCTTGCATAGATATTCATAATATTCGTAGTATTTTTGGTCGGCCCACGTTCCGGGTTCCTGGTATCCGAATGGTTCCTGACATCCTCTGCCGTAACGCAGGCCGTCGTCTGGTCGATGGAAATGCTCGTTTATCATGTCGCGCTGACGCTGGCGGATGGCGTCCTGATTGCGTTCACGTGTTGCTTGTTCCGACTCCGCATTCACTGCAGTTTTCTTTCACTGTTTGTCAGCTTATAAGGTTGGACCTGTAAATTGCTCTCGGAATGTTTCCAAGAGAGCACGTTGTCACCTTGCAGGGAGGTCTGATGTGAACGAAAAATACGCAGCACAAGATGGAAGAGCCTGGCTTTGCTGCACCATGCAGTGGTATCCAGGGATCGGCGACTGTTTAACATACTTGAAGAGCTGCTTTGCTGTCACTCTAATTAAACTTTTCTACATCGCCCGGGATTTCATTAATTTAAAAACAACAACAGCAACAATAATAATAATAGTAATAAAAGTGGTAAAAATAATCATGACAATTTCAATTGAACTTATTTAGTTTTTCAGTAAGCCTATAATCTTGAGCTCCACAATTTACAGTACTGGCCTCAAAATGAAGATTTGGTTCTCATGCTGTACAATTTTTTATCGAGCTTACTCGATAAGCAACATTATCAGGAATAATCAGATTATCAGTACTAACAGGCTGTGTCAAGCACTGATGCCTGCACCAATTACCTGCAACGGCAAACTTCAGAGGAGCATTGCTAAAAAACATCTTACATGTTTGATTCCTGAGCTGAGCCCGTGCTTTAATCTGTGGTGGCAGATAGGGCACAAAGGCTGGCTTCGAGGCACCTGAAACTTCCGCGGTTGAATCGCCATAGATTACATTCAGCACCTGCAACTGCAACACTTCTTTCGCATAATTTAATTGCAGCACTGCCGGCAAAAGAATGCTGGAAAATGCTTGCTTACTGAATAGCAGAAGGGCGTGCATTTGTACGACCTCTCAAAGCAGTCTTCATATGGTATGGAGAGAATGATTTTGTGAAAAGAGCGCACAGCATGCAAACCAGGAAGCTGCCCAGGTGCGCGAGTGCATCCAGCCAACATCGAGCAC